TGAGGAAAAGGGGCACGGACACCACCATCAGCAGCCAGTCTATGGCTATCCCCAGCAAGGTAAGCTCTCCCCAAGGATCAATCTCTCTTTGGTCTCTTCTAGTTCTTCTAGATTGAATTAAGTTCTATTCTCCACAGGTTACTATCCACCGCCACAAAACTACAAGCAAAAGAAGCGGTCAGGGGGGTTTCTCAGAGGCTGGTGAGTGGTAGTTTCTATCTTAATAGCTTGTAATTTTTGCTGAGTTTTCTCATGGTGAGTTTTTCCTTACAGCTTGGCTGCGCTTTGTTGCTGCTGCCTGCTTGATCAATGCTGCTGCTGCTGCGATCCAACCATACTTTGTGGCTGCTAAAGAAAATTCATATTTTTATTCATCGGGGATGTAGATATTTCGTTAGTAGACAGCATGTAACTCTTATCCGAAGATTGAAATCTGCTCAATTTAATTTATTTTTTTCAAGTAGAGCTACATGGTTTAGCAACTTATTCTCGCATGGGGTGTAGAATTTAGTATACCTTGAATTGACCATGGTAATCTTGACACCCAGATTTTTATAGAAATCTGGGATCATTTGGATCAAGGGATGGATGAATTTAGTCAACTGGCCCGAGAAAATGTCATAGATAAAAGCATCAATCCATTGATTCGTCAATTCTTCTAAGAAATGGCAGTGTTCTTGTCAGCTGTGATTCTCCTCTCTTTGTGTTCGTTGTCAGCTAATGCTAATCTTCTCATAAAAGTATGGTTCCACCACAGTCGAGGAGAACAGCTTCCTCCCCTTGCACATCACTGACAGGGCTCCCACTATTGACATCCAAGGATATGACGACCGCCGCGGCATCAACATCACACATCCTTCATACTTTTCAGTGGTGATGTTCACCTGGTTGGACATGATTGGATTCCAATTCTTTGAGTCCTATATCACCTACTGGGTTGCAAACATTCCAGCAGGCAGCTTTGGTAAGCAAGCTTGACCACATTTGATTTTGTAAAAGAGTTTTTGGGTGGATTGGACTCTCTGATTGTGATGGATTTGTCTTTGCAGGACCTGGGAAGGGCAACGTTGTCTTGCCTTAGATGTCTCCTCTAGCCACCAACAAGTTTTTGCAATTCAGTGAACAGAACAACTCGTACTCTTTTGCGCTTGTTCCACAGGGAAGTAACTTGGTGGGGCAGATCGTGGACAACCGCATAAACCAAAGACGCTCCAGCATTACAACTGCACTGGAGAGTTTATTGAGATCATCGACTTCACCACCTCCACATCTCAAAACTAAATTGTTGTTAATTCATTTGATTATTAATAATGTTTTCAACTTCAAAAAATCACACACACTAGGGACCCATTAGATCGACAAGTTTCTTGAGAGGTCGGCCCAGTGATTCCACCTCTCCATTCAATCTAAAGATGATTTCCTCGTCTTGATGATATGAAGAAGGGCGCCTTGTTTGCCACCGGTCACAATGGTGAACTTGATTACTAACAAAAATAAAAAACGGCTATCTCAACCACTTTGCATACTCCCACAACTTCGCGTAAGGAAGATACTGGTCTTCGTCTGAATCACTGTCCTTTTTGGTGTTGTAAGCTTGTCTTGATCCCATGAGAACAAAGCTGACAACCTGTGCCGCAGTACAAAGTTTAGGAAAAACCATGAAAAGGCAGACGAGGGCGGATCAAACCTGTTCTAGCAACAGTGGCCTCAGCTTGTGCTCCTGGAAGTTTTTCTTGCTGCACTGGTTGGCAAATGTTTGCAAGCAAAGCTCCGATGACCAAAACGTTGCCTTGCAAGTCAAGCACTGGGCCCTTGTGAAGAGATACAAAAGCTTTGGCGAACCTGGAAAGCAAAAATATATAATAGTTAGACACAAGAAAAGCACTAAACGAAACAACTCACGGAGAACTGCGATCTCGAAAGCCTTCTTCCAGCAGCCTATTTTTTGGATCGAAACATCCTTGACTCTCAGAGGAGTACTGGAATCATCATCACCCAGCTCAAAACCAGCGAGCTGCAAAACTCTAGTAGGATCAAAACTCGTGTTCTCAAGAACAACCGTGAAAAGCTTCTGCCAGAGGTTTGCGTCTTTGTACTCTGAATTCCAAGACCTTCACAAAACAAGATGAAACCTGTCACATTTGTTGGAGAAGAAATCGAGATTAAAATCAAAACCTGCATACGCAGCCAGCAGTAGCCAGTGATATGGGATCCAGGAAGCTGAAAACGTGAACAAGAACATCCACCGGAAGCTGGCAGGATTCTTCACGAGAAAAAAATAGAAAACATAGTCAGAAAGACGAAGAAGAACAGTCTTACAAAACCATACCGTCTAGCTCGCTTTGATTCTTGGAGCTCCTTTGCAAGGAAATGGCAGCCTTTCTAAACTCCCCAGCCGCCAAGCCCTTCTTGTGCTTCGGCAAGACGGAGTCAGAAGCTTGGAGCAAAGCACTGGCAGCGGAGAAATCACCAGCCGAGCACCATGGATGACTAGAGAAAAAAACACAAAGAACAAAGGAAAAAAAATGAGAGAAATCACGAAAGCTTTCAAAGAAGAGATTCTTACTCCTGGAGGATGCGAAACGCGGCGAGAAGATCCTGGAAGAGAGCCGCCTGGAGAGACTTGGGGGCAATTCCATAAGCCTGTTTGAGCAGCACGGCAAGCTCCTTGCAAGCTCGGGCATAGTCGCACCTAGACAAGCAAATCGATGGAGTAAATCGAGAATGTAAGCTAGTGCTAGTCTTAGTACCTCCTGTTAAGAGCCTCTCCCAGCCTTAGAGAAGAATATCGCGCCTCCATGGCCTGGCATGGCTTGCTAGAAATGGTCGCCCTACATCACTCTCTCGAATATGCGTTTAGGGGGTCCCGGGTTCGACATCTCTTTCACCCCGCTGGAAAGAAAGAGGCTCTTGTTTAATTCACACCGGCCAAGTCGATGAGCTTTTTCGAGTGTAAATTCGAGATGGATTCAGCGATGACACCAGCACTGCTTCTCATGTATCCTCCTGGAACAAATTAAAAAGGAAAACGAATCACTGTTCTAGCAGGTGGAATGGAAGAAGATTAAAAGATGTTTACCAGACGTGAGCATGACAATTGGGATGTTTCTCTGGCGAGCGAAGCTGAAAACAATCTCGTCACGCTCTTTCACTCCTTCCGGTGAAACCTGCAAGGACGAGACTGAGACAACGCTCGAGAAAGTTGAAGCAAACCTCCAATCGGCCGAGAGGATCTCCTTCCAATATGTCTGTGCCGGCGTTGTAGACCAAAAGATCTGGAGCAAAGGCTTGGAACGCCTCCTGCAACTTACGAAGTTGCTAAAAAGATGCTACAAAGAGAAAAACAAGTATACAAAAGAGAACCTCAAGCTCTTGCTTTAAACGCGTCAGGTAAGAGTCAGTCCGTGTTCCACTCTACGTGTAAGATAACACGCTTTGTTGAGAAACAATAAACAAAAACTGCTTACGGAAATTTCAACTCGCCGATCAATCCAGCGTTTTGCTTCATAATCCTGCAAAGCAGTGTACATGAACATGACGAAGAATCTTACAAGTTCATACCAGTGGATATATATCTCGATTATACATGTCAAAGATAAACACTCGATCTGCAAGGAGTTCGCGACGATTAAGTCAAGTGGCAAACAGGAAAAGGAGCTCTACAAGTGAAAAGTACCAGAAAGAGTTACCATCATCTGCAAAATCCCTTTCATGACCATTGCCTTGGTGAGCATCAAGATCGACAATCATCGCCCTGCAACCGTTTCATGAAAACGAAAGCTCTGAAAATATGATCTCTTAAAAGCACATACCGGCTGATATTGAGATTTGCGAAAGCGAAGTGAATGCAGAGTGTTATGTCTGCATACACACAAAAACCACCGCCTCTATAGCCACAACAATGGTGAAATCCCCCTCCAACATTTATAGCCCATCCCCGTTCATAAGCAACTTTGCCTGCTAGAACAGACCCTCCCACCTTGAAAACAACGCAAAAGAACATAAACAAGGGAAACTACCTGTTTCCAAACTACCTGTTTCCGAAATGGGACTAAAACTTTAGAACGAATGATGCAATAAGGCAGCAAAGCCACAGGGGGAACCTGTTTGATCGAGCTCAAGAAAGAGATATAAACACAAAGATTGAATTTTTCTACCTCCAATATGGAGGCAGCAACATAACTCCGCTTTAAGCTCTCCAAATATTCCGGTGTGTGTACCTGAAAATGGAAAAAAGAAGGAAACCAAGAGAATTAATCTCCGCTTGAAGTTAAATAGTCGAGAACATACCACGAGAAGATCTTCTTTTGTAGCTTCTCCAGGCTCCATAATTCTACGTGACTCCAGCTCGCCTTTCTGGATCAGCAGCTCACACACTCTTCCCCACTTGGAAGAGTCAAATGGATGGCTGGGAGTTGAGAGACGCTCTTTAGATTCAATGCGAAAGAAAGAGCCAATCTATTTACAGTTTCTCCAATCCCAGGAACGCGATATTATACACTGCGGAGTATACGACTGGAACCTAGGCCGGAAGAACAGAAAATTGGAATTGAAATTGGCAACGGCGGGCGCCTACCTTGCCAGGAGATGCATTGGAATCGTAGAGCTTGCTCGCTTTGATCCTCGCCAAGCGCTGGGCGTCGTAAACAGCACCGCCACTGCTGCTAGCTTGCTTCGCCATGCCACAAACCCTACATTTTCAGTCAAACAAGATGACACGTGTTTATCCATCTTTTACCCCTAATTGTTTATGTGACACGTCAGCCCGCGCCCTATCCCATATGCCGTGGCACAGGCTTGGGGCCTGCCCACAGTATATAAGGAGAGGGCTGGGCCATGAAATTTTTATACCTTTCTCGGCCTTTTGGCTAAGATCAAGTGTAGTATCTGTTCTTATCAGTTTAATAGCTGATATGGGACCACGTGTCCCAACGCTATTAACCTAATTTTTTGTGGGAGGGGGGCCACCGGTAGCTTGCTGCCCGGCTTTCCACGTGTCGCTTTGGCCTTACACTACCGCCTTAGCCTGGCACAACCCCCCAACCCCCCCAAATATTAAATCTAAGAAGTATTAAAATAAACGATATTAAAACTGATGCTAACTAAACTCCTTTAAATGTTTGAATGGTCCTGGGTTCAAAATAAAAAACATTAAAGCCTGGGGTTTTAGGGTTTGTAGTAAGGAAAGATGGAGGAAGCGAAGATCATCCACCTGGTAAGACACGCAGAAGCCTTTCACAATGTCGATGGCGATGTGAGCCTCCATCGCCTCTTCTTCCGGGGCGAATGGCGCCATCTCTCTCCGCGCCTCCTCATTCGCGTGTTGCGGCCATTCTGGCGCCACTTCCAAGCGTGGCTGCTCTCCTTCTTCATTGGCAAGGCCTCTCTCAAGCATGCCCGCGCTCGCGACCAGAACTTCTTTGATCCCAAGCTCACTTCCAATGGCTGGGAACAGGTAAGAGCTCTCATTCTCTATCACTCGCGTTTTCTTCTCATATCGCAATGCTCGAATCAGATTGGAAGGCTCCGCAAGATCGTGGGAGAGAGTGGGATTGATCGTCGCGTTCAGCTGGTTGTGGTTTCTCCCTTGACTCGGTGAGAGTTTTTTTTCTATTTCTTCTTCTTGTTCATCGTTCAGTTTTTGTAGAACTTTGCAAACGGCAGTCGGTGTGTTTGGAAGCGGAGAGATCGGCAGTCCGCCTTTTGTTGCACAGGAGCTGTGTAGAGAACGGATGGTATGTTTTTCTTCTCGTCCTTTTTTCTTCTTGATCTCGTCTCGTTTACGTGTTCTTTTTCTTTTTTGGTGCAATCCACTTAGAGCGTTCGATCGTCTGACAAGAGACGGGCCATTAGCAACTATGCGCCAATGTTTACAACAGTCGATTTTTCGCAGGTGTGTGTGTGTGTGTGTGTTTTTCATGAGATGCAAGGTGTGCAACATTCATTGTGTTTGTTCTCTTAGATCGAAGACGATGACGATAAAATGTGGAATCCAGACACTCCCGAGACAATGAAAGAGCTGCAAGAACGGATCACTCTTTTTCTGCAATGGTAAAGTAAAAAAAACAGAAGCTCTCCAGTTTTTTGTTTCCACAAGTATTGAATGGTGGCTTTCTTAACGAACCAGGCTTTGGGATCGCAAAGAGACGGAGATCGCTGTGGTTTCGCACAGCAGCTTTTTGCGCAACATGCTCAAGCGCGCAAATCTATTGTAAGCCTTACAAACTTTCCATCTTCCATAATTTTTCTGAACTGGGAATGGATTTGTACAGGCTCCCGAACTGTCAACTCACGACAGTCCGACTGACAAGATCAGGATGCGATTTCAGATTTTCCGACGCTTGAATCTGTGTCAGCCACCGCAAACGTTTTGATACAAGGTAATTTTCAATTCCAGGAGATTACGCTTTCTTGTCAGCCTCGCCCAAGAGCGTGACAACTTGTCGAGCAACAGCGTTGAGAGGATCGAGCTCGAGGATTCTCTCAGCTGCCAGTCTCTCTCGATTCACATCACCGTGCCTGCGACACCATCCCAGCAAGCTCAGCCACATCGCACCTCGAAACTCCATCGCCATCTTGGAAATGATCCTCTCCGCTTCTCCCAGCTTTCCTTGTCGTCCCAAGATCTCTACCACGCCTCGAAGGTGCTCCACGCCAGGAACCAAGCCATGATCGCATCGCATCGATTCAATCCAGCGATAAACTTCGGTCGCTTCCACGGAACAGTTTATAACGCTCGCAAAGGTGGTGGCGTTTGGCTTGCTACCATCCTGCTGCATCTCCCACAGAAATACAACAGTCTCTTCTCCACGGCCGTGCTGAGCGAACGCCGAAACAAGAGAATTCCAAGAAACCAAGCTCTTCACTGGAACTGCACGCAGGATCTGGCGAGCGGTTGCTAAGTTTCCGAGCTTTCCATACATGTCCCCCAGGGAGGTCTTGACGAACGCGTCCTCGAAGAGTCCACACTCTTCGCAAGCGCTGTGGACGAGATGGCCGAGCCGAGAAGTGGACTCCATGCGGCAGGCCGCAAGCACGGTGATGAAGCTCACTTTGTTTGGAGCGATCCCTTCGAGCAGCATCCGGCGAAACATTGTCACCGCCGTGGCGTGCTGGCCGTGCTGGATGCAAGCTCCGATGAAGTTGTTCCACGAGACGACGAGAACTTTGGGATGATCTTCGAGCCGATGTTCTTGCTCGATGGACGTGAGCATCTTGTACGCGGTCACCAGGTTTCCACACCGTGCGTACATTGCTACCAGCGAGCTCGCCACCGCCGAGTCCGATTCCAGACCACTCTCCAGAACTTGAGAGTGGATCTTCTTGCCTTGGTCCGAGTTGAGAGCTCCGGCACAGGCACCGAGCATCGCAGCAAACGCAACTCCATCCGGCCTCACGCCCTCCACTCTCATCACCGGGAGGAACTTAAGAGCTTCTTCGTGCAAGCCCTTGTCCACCAACCCTGTGATGATCGACGTCCATGCCACAACGTTGTTATGCTTGTGGAGGATCACTCTCTCCAAAGCTTGCTCCACGAATCCACTCCTGGCGAGCATGCTCACGAGTGCGTTTGAGACCTGAGCGTCCGATCCCCAGCCCGACTCCATAACCAAGCTTTCCACCATCGCTCTACACGGCTCGTCCTCACACGCAGCCAAGACTCTAGACAAAGTTACCGAGTTTGGCGACGCCGCGGCCTCCAGCAGCATCATCCGGAAGCTCTGCATGGCCTCGTAAAAGCAGCCATTGTCTACGTACGATCTGATCAACTCGTTCCACAGCACTACGTCACACGAACTGTTCGTCCTGGTGATCGTGTCGTCGAAGATCTCTCCAGCTCGAGCTGGACATCCACACTTTGCGAACATATTCAGCATGGCGATGCCGAGAAGAGAGTCGTGTTGCAGCTGCAACTTCAACTCCGTGTTGATCCACTCCAGGATTTTCGTCCCCAGTGACAAGCACCGGCAAGCGTCCAGGAGTGAGGTCAGTGTAAACTTATCCGCCGCAAATCCTTGGAGCTGCATCTTTCGGAAGAGCAGCACGGCGCTATCGGCACAGTCGTTCTGGACGCAGGCTGAGATGATAGAGTTCCACGACAGAAGGTTTGGACGATCCAGCCGCTGGAAAACCTCGCTGGCTTTCTCCACTTCCCTGCTTCTCGAGTAGAAAGTTATCAAAGCATTGGACACGGCAGCATCGGCGTCGAATCCACCCTCCTCGACGCAGCCACGGACGAGACTCGAGAACTTCTCCCCGCAAACGCAGCTAAGAACACCACCCGCGAAGGAATTCCCATTCGGAGAAACTCCTTCCAGCAGCATCCGACAGAAAAACGCGATAGCTTCTTCACTGCAGCCGTTCTGAGCGTACGAAGCAACCACCGCATTCCAGGAGCTCAAGTCTCTCACCGCCATTGTTTCAAACACTTCCATCGCGCGCTCCACCTCGCCAAGCTTCCCGTAAGTTTTCACCAGCGCGTTTCCAATCGAGACATCGCTAGAAACCAGCCCGCTCTCACAAACTTGCCGATGGATCTCGTCAGCCTCTCGCAAGGAGCAGCACGCATGGAGCATGGTGAGAAAACTGGGAATGTTGTGCCGCAAGCCATCAAGCAGCATTCCCCGAAACAAATGCAAAGCCCCGGAAAAATGCCCGTTCTCGGCATTTGCTGCAGCCATGCTAGTCCAGCTCGCAGTGCTCTTGTTTCTGATCCCAGCAAAAACAATCTTGGCCTGTGGCAAATCCCCGCACTTCCCATAGAAGTTGACAAGAACATTACCCACGACGAGATCGGTGTGGAAGCCCAGCTCGGTGGCAAGCGAGTGAACTCGGTTGCCCGAGCTCCAGGCGGCACAAGCTCCGAGCACCGAGATGAAAGTCACAACGCTGGGGACCGTCCCCTCGTGCAGCATCCGGCTGAAAGCGTGGAGCGTGGCCTGGAACTCGCCGTGATCCGCCAGAGTTGCGAGCATGGCGTTCCAAGTGATGACGTTCTTGAGCTTGAGGCTCTCGAAGGCTGCGCGAGCTTCGTCCAAGCTGCCGCATTTGCGATACGCACCGACGATGAGATTGCCGATGAAGACGTTGGTTTCCAGGAGTCCTGGGCTCCCGCGAAGGATCTCTTGGTGCAAGAGCCTAGCTTGGGGGAGATCTCGGCACGACTGGAGACGGTCGCCATACTCTGCTGCTACTGCTGCTGCATCGAGCTCGTGATGATCGAGCGGAGGTCTTGCTGCAAGATCGCAGTGAAGGAAGCGCTTCCGGCAGTGGCTTCTTGTGCTGGTGATGCGAGCAGCGCGAGCAGCGAGATCAAGCATATCTTTTGAGTTCCCACATATTTGGAAGAACAAGTCAACCACAGTCCTAAAGCCCTAAACTCGAGCGCCATCTAAGCCAGCTTAGTCAACCTTTTGGTCAAAACAATACTTTAATTGGATTTTTTGTAGATCTTTGCAAAGATTTTGGTGTTGTTTAATGTCGGAAGTGACGAACATCTGTAAAAACCATTGCGACGCCATACTTGTTGCAGCAGTCGATCGCATCTTGGTCCCTTATGCTTCCACCCGGCTGGACTATGACGCTCACTCCAGCCTTGCACGCTTCTTCCACGGCGTCGTTCCAAGCTGCGGGAGAAGACGAAAAAATCCACCGCTCAGTCGCAACTAGAGAGCTTTGAGATTCATCACCACTCACCAAAAGGAAAGAATGCGTCGCTAGCAAGAGCAGCGCCTTTGACAGCGCTTCCAGCCTTTTCAATCGCGATTTCCAGGCTCTTGATACGATTTGGCTGCCCGCTGCCCATTCCAAGCATGGAGTTATCCTGGAACTCATTCGACGTCAGGAACGCGAAGAAACAACGATTCAGAAAAACACAGACCTTTGCGACCACGATCGCGTTGCTCTTGACATGCTTGACGCACACCCATGCGAACTTTGCGTCGGTCATTTCCGCCTCTGTTGGGACTTTCGTTGTGCCGACTCTGAAAGTGATGTCGTCCGGTGTAAGATCGTCGGCATCTTGAACCAGCCAGCCTCCGCCGACTTGTCTCGCGCTTCGACGGCCTTTCTTGATTGGCTGAGCTTCGAGTATTCGCAGCGCTTTCGACTTGCCTTTCAAGACCTGGAGTCCCTTCTCGGTGTACTTCGGTGCCACCACAATCTCGTAGAACATTTTGGTTTGGTTTTCCTGATACCGCTTTGCTATGTACTCTCGTATCTCTCGTGCCAGTGCCTACGAAATGGAAAAGCCCGTGTACACGTTAAAAAGTTGATATTGAAGCAAACCTCGTCAACTTCGCAATTGAAGGCTACTATACCGCCGAATGCACTGATGGAGTCTGCTTCAACAGCGAGGCGATAGGCCTCCAAAATGTCGGGCCGCGACGCCACCCCACAGGGATTTGTATGCTTGACTACAACGCATGTCGGTTCTTTGAATTCGCAGACGCAATTCCAGGCGGCATCAGCATCAAGATAGTTGTTGTAAGACATTTCCTGCAAAAGGAGCATCAATAGAGGTGAATAAGTAGATTCACTACCTTTCCGTGGTGTTGCACAGCAGTCGCAATTCCTCCAGCATCAACTTCTGAGATGGATTTATCGACATAAAACGCGGCCTTTTGGTGTGGGTTCTCTCCGTATCTTAAAGACGATTTTAGTGCCAGTGGTATCGTAAGCTCTGATGGAAACTGAGTACCAGAACCATCTGCCAAACGCCAACTCCATGTCATGTGGATCAAAGTGAGAAAACAACTAAAAACTTACCACCATTGTTTTCCTTCCAAAACCACTCCGACACGGCCGAGTCGTAAGAGGAGACGTGCTGAAACGCTTTCCAGGCGAATTTCCGTCTGATCATTTCGTCATTCTCCAGTTCACCCTGCAGACTGTCTAAAACCGTAGGGTAGTCTGCAGGATCGACGACTACAAGTACGTGCTTGTGGTTCTGCCATGAAAAGAAAATTCAAAATTCAGTAACCGCAAAGAACAAATGAAACATGAAACCTTGGCTGCAGCTCTGATCATTGCAGGACCACCAATATCTATATTCTCAACACCTTTCTCGAACGATGCTCCTCCGGGAGCAGTGACAGTGTCATAGAACGGGTAGAGATTGACCACCACAACGTCTATGGTTCCTGCCTTCACAGTACAGACAAGGAGAAACTAAAGATTAGCGCAACTATGAGCACACCTATCCCGTGCGTGTCGAGAGCGTCCATATGCGAGTCTAAATCACGCCTTGCAAGAATGCCTCCGTGAACCGCAGGATGCAACGTCTTTACTCGACCATCCAGCTGCAAAAACAAACATTTCACAATCAAAGTTCCTCCAGAGAGAAAAAGAATACAACCATTTCAGGGAAGTTCGTCAGTTCTTCCACTCTTGTAACTTCGAAGCCCGCAGTTTCCAGCGCCTTGGCGGTACCACCAGTGGAAATCAGCGTATATCTAGTCGACAACTTTCAGCATACAACTTTCTTTTTGTGAAGAGGGCATACAAACTTACCCGAGTTCTCTAAGACCAGTAGCAAGAACATCAAGGTTGCGCTTGTCGGACAGCGAAAGAAGAGCCTTCTTAGAGCCTGCCGATAAGAAGAAAATGAGAAAACACATTAGAAAAAGTTCGAATCATACCTGGAGCTGGTGTCGATCTTGGCGTGGATACGACAGTCTTCACGGCAGAAGACTCCGATGCCGCCATTCTCACCACTCTGGAGCTCTCCAATCGCGAGAAGCCGGCGGTGGAAGGAGAGAAATGCGAGCAATGGGAGGCACAAAGAGGCAGCGGATGAGCAGCAGCACCGATCCTGGAGCGATGTGACGACGGAAAGGTGTGGAGCGCAGCGCAGAGGCGCACCACTGCCATCTAAACCCCGGATAAACCCTAATCCTCTCAAGCCAGAGCGTGGATGGATGAGGAAGAGCAAGAACAGAAGTGGGAGAGGGATCTTCTTCCCTGTAGACACGATCGCGATGGATCGATCGCGCCAAAGAAGCACGCCTTCCTCCTGCCAAAATATTTTCCCTCTCTTGTGCGATAGGGTTCTTGGCATTTTGATATCTCGCGTGGAATGGAATGTTGGGGCGCCTTCGCCGGAGGGGCAAATCCGACCTCCTTCTTGCGCGAGGCATCGCCTCCTCTGCTGCTACTGCGCCGAGAGGCAAGAATCTCCTGTCGCGAGAGGATTTCCAGGGTCTGGAGCGAGTGACGAGCCTCCTGGAATCCGGCAATGCGGGTGAAGCGAGGCGCGTCTTCGATCACCAGGTGAGCCACTTGGACGTACGAGTCTGGAATGGTGTAATCGCCGCCTTCTCCAGGCATCACCATCGGTGCGAGGAAGAAGAAGATCGAGATCTTCCCTCGGTAGCCTTGCTCCATTGCATGCTCCACGAGGGAATCCGGCCCAACGCCACGACGCTGGTGACCATCCTCAAGGAATGCAGTACCGAGGGCAGCAAGAAGAGGGGGCTGTGGATTGCCAGCGCAGGAAAGCTGATCGAATCTTTCGTTCGCGACGGTGGCTTTGACATTGAAGATCGCATTGGCACCAGTTTGGTAAATATGTATCGCATCTGCGGCAGGCTGGAAGACGCTCGCAGGATCTTCCGCGAGTTCCACTCGCCGAGCAACGTCGTGACATGGACTGGGATCATCACAGCAAATGCCGAGAGCGGGCATTTTTCCGAGGCCATCGATCTCTTCCACCGGACGCAGCTCGAAGGTGTGTTGCTCGACAAGACGAGCTTTCTTGCTGTTGTGAATGCGTGTGCTGATTGTGGGAACTTGGTGGCTGGCAGGTTGGCTCAGAGGCTCGTCAGAGAGGCCGGGCTTGAGGCCGACGTTGTTCTTGGCAACACGCTCGTCAACATGTATGGGCTGTGCCACAGCGTGGACGAGGCTTGCAGCGTCTTCGACTCGATCCAGGAGAGGACCTCCGTGAGTTGGAACGTTATGCTCTCGGCTCACGCGAGGCAGGGGAACTTCCAAATGTCGCTCATCGTCTTCCGGCTGATGCAACTCGATGGATTCAAGCCCGAGGCCATCACTTTCCTGGCCGTGCTTGAGTCGTGTGCCGCGGTGGGATCGCTTGAGACGGGGAAGCTCGTCCATTCCAACATCCAGGAACAGATTGGGGAGCTGGATCCGCAAGTTGGCGATGCGGTCGTCAACATGTATGGGAAGTGTGGAGCGGTGGAAGAAGCTGCCAGAGTTTTCGACGAGCAGGGACACAGGAGGAGTGTGGTGTCGTGGAACTCGATGATCGCCGCGTTCTTCCTCAATGTGTTGCTCGAGGAAGCATTCCGGTGTTTTCGGACGATGCAACTCGAAGGTTTCCATCCCAACTTTGCGACGTTTGTCAACCTTCTTCACGGGTGTACCGATCTAGAAGCTCTTGCGGAGGGTGATGCTGTCTACGGGATGGTCGCCGAGACGGAGTTCCATTCCGAGCCTGGGATAGAGATCGCCCTCGTCAACATGTACTCGAGCTGCGGGGAACTTGATGCTGCTTATCAGATCTTGCAAGGCCGAGACGACGTGTCTCTACCATGGAGCAGTTTTCTTCGTGCAACTGCGAGATATGGCTATTCGAATGAGACTCTTGCAGTTCTTCGACGGATTCAGCTCAACGGGATCTTTCCAAACACCACTGCTCTCGTCTCTGGTCTCAGTGCCTGCGTTGCTCCAGGGTTCCTAAGAAGCGGTACCGGGATTCATGAGCTGGTTCTTGAGGCTGGAATACAGCACCACTTGGTCGTCGCCACAGCACTCTTCGTCATGTATGGGAAGTGCAAGAGCTTGGACCATGCTCGGCTCTTGTTCGACGGAATGGTACAGCGAGACTCAGTTGCCTGGAACGCGATCATGTCACTCTACTCCAGTTATGGCCGCCACGAAGGAGTCATCGAGCTTTTTAGGAGCATGCTGCAAGAGGGTGTGAGATTCAACAGGGCCAGCTTCTGCATCGTTCTCTCGTCTCTGGTCTACCCGGCAATGCTACTGATCGGGGAGAGTGTCCACTCCATGGCCATCCAGAAAAACTACGACGAGGACGACGTTGTAGCTGGTGCTTTGGTGACCATGTATGCCAGGCTTGGCAAGCTTGAGAAAGCTAGGGAAATCTTCGACCGGGTGAGCGCGAAAGAGCCGAGCACAGCTCTCTGGACAGCCATGATCTCGGCCTGCGTCGAGCACAGAGAGTTTGCCGACGCGCAGCTCCTATTTCGACGCATGCAGCTGGAAGGTGTGCTCCCGGACAGCTTCACCCTGGCTTGCGCTGCCGCCGTAGTAAACTCGCTGGAGATGACGCTGCTTAACGCCGCTGCTCGTCAGAGAAGCCTGGACAACAACGTCAGGCTTTGCAACGCTCTTGTCGAAGCCTACGGGAGCAAGGGAGAGCTCGACAAAGCGCTCGATATGTTCGAGAGCACGGAAGAGAAGACTCAAACAAGCTGGAGCCTGGTGATTACGGCGGCCGCGGAAAATGCAAGACACCACCAGGGACTAGCTCTCTATCACCAGATGCTGCTCGAAGGTTACCGACCGGACAAAGTCTCGCTGCTGGCAGCTCTGGGAGTTTGCTCCAGCCTCGCCTCTCTCAAGTCGGGACGGAGGATCCACGAACAGGTCGTGGAAGCCGGGCTCGAGCCGGACGAAGTCGTGGCCAGCGCCCTGGTGGACATGTATGGGAAGTGTGGAGGCTTGGAGGCTTCACGAGCAGTGTTCCAGAGGTCCGAGAAGCAGGATCCCGTGCTTTGGAACTCGCTGCTAGCGGTGGAAGCTCGATGTGGAGGGGACACAATGAGACTCTTCCACTGGATGCAGCAAGATGGTTTGAGGTCCGACGGTGCTTCGTTCGTCAGCCTTCTCGCGGCGTGCAGCCATGCTGGGGTGGAAGACAAGGCCTGGGACTACTTCGCAGCGATGAAGTGGGATTTTGGTGTGGTGCCTGCTTCGGAGCACTTTGGTTGCATGGTCGATCTGCTGGCGAGAACCGGGAAGCTTGAAGCTGCGGAGGAGCTGATCTTCAAGTCGAGGCTGAGGCTGGATTCGAGGCTGTGGATCACGCTGCTGGCGGCTTGTAACGCGAACGGGGACGTGAGCAGGGTGGAGCGAGCAGGGATGAACGCTCTGGTTTTGGATCCACAAAACTCTGGGCTCTATGTGACACTTGGGAACATGTTTGCGGCGGCAGGGAGGGAGCAAGATGCTCGAAACATGAGAGCGGCCTTGGATGAGTTGCGAGCTTTGTCCAGCAAAGACAAAGAAACTTAGAAGCTTGTACCATTGTTTTTACAATCAAAGACAGAGGTCTCTGACTTGATCTTTCGTTAATTCCCACACTCTTTCCAAATGACCATTGTGTCCCAAAATCTATGACTTCCAGCGATGCGGAGGAATTCCGTCACGGCTTCCACTGCCAGAAGCTGCGTGGAGATCGATGATGACTTTAATGCCACTACTCCTGTAAAATAAATAAAACCAGTTTAGAAAAGCAAAGGAGGGAAATCATTTTCTTACTCTGCCCATGTAATAGCATTGTCTAGAGCTGCAAGCGAGCCTGCTACATAGGTAGAGGAGGGCTTGGATCATATTTAATCCACCATTCCACCGGAATCCTCACTGTGTTGATTCCTAGACACCAAGGTCCCGAAGTCATTTGAAGTGATGAACGTGTTTCTATGGTCCTGAAATGACGAGAGACTTTGATTTCCAGCAAGATCATCTTGATCAGATGCATCAGCACGGTTGTCGAAAGCATTGCTAAGCTGGTATTCTCCAAGTGGAGCATCCCCAGTTTTGTTCATGTAGAAAACTGCGGGATTGGAGCTTGCACTTGATCACCGGAGCAAACAAGATATGGAGAACAGAAGAGAAATCACAATTGAAGAAACAAAGCCAATTCTTTGCCCGCAAGTAGTGTAGATTGTCGAATGCCTTGATATGGACCTTGTTATTCGCGAATGAATGTAAAGGTCTCCCACTCTCTTGCATCTTGGCTTGTTGCAAGATAGCTTCCTGCTGAGCCTAATGCTTTGATGAAATTCAAGCTTGAAGCTATGGCAAGCTATATTTAGTTTAAAATTTTAGTATATATAATAAAAAATTGATTGTTAACAACTGGATTTTCAGGATGGCTTCTCCGAGCGTTGCCGTCACTCCAAGAAGCAACAGCATGAATGGTGAAGAGAAAAGTTTAGCATTTTTGTTTCTTTGCTAAGGGGAGATAGCTCAGATGGTAGAGTGCTTGCTTAGGGATCAATACCCAGCATCTCCAAATATGTTTGATTATTGGATCATTCCAGGCGTTTAGACCGACTTTACTGGTGTTGACCTCTGGGGGAGCTATGGATGGATGTTGCACCGTGAGACTATCAACAGAGCAATGCATAGATATTTATCTTGTGTTTCTTTTTCCCACTTTTTTGCAAACGAGTAAAAAAGTTTCGTTCACTGCAAGTGATTGAGCCTGGAAAGGAGTTGCCATCAAATTAAAGATGTCTTATCTTTTTGAAATATTGAGCATTTCGTGATTGTGAGATTAAATCGCTGTTCACATCTAGGTTTGGGCTCTTTGGCATGCTCAGTTCAAGTCCGACAATCCACAGCGTCACAAGCTGTCGAGTCTATTCGTACAAAGCCAAAAGTACCTCTTTATTTTCTAAGTCAAGGGTTAGGTTATAATCTTTGATTTTTCTATTGTCGAAGCTCTCGTCAGGTAAGCTATGGTCTCTCGCGCTCACGCCGCCCCAACGCTTGGCCGCCAAGGGCATGTAGGCCATCACCGAGCTTCACACCCGCGAGCTCCAGCACATCCACCACACCACCATGGACACCATCCTCGAGGAGGCCACGAGCCAGCGCCAGCTTTAGCTCCAGTTCTTCAAGGTGACGCTCCAGTTCGAGCCCCAGCGCCAGCTGCTTTCGTTCACCCTGCTCGCGGCCACCCTGCTCATCTAGCTCCAGCGCCTAATGCTCGCCACCACGATCCAGCTCCAGCAGCAGCAGTGTACCATCATCATCACGGTGATGGAGCTCCTCTGGTTGTTCACCACCATCACCATGGTCACCACCATGGTCACCACCATGGAGGACGCCACAACCACCACCACCACCACCACCACCACCACCATCGTCACGAGGGTCACGACGCAGCAGTGGGCACACCAACACCCGCAGCAGTAGTTACAGTGGTTCGGAGGACGCCGTGGTCGCTGCTCCAGCTTCTTCTCTGGGTTTTGGTTGCGATCTTGGTGCTGCTCGCATGCTTTTTGCTCGTGCGATGGATGCTCTCTCGAAGGAAACAGCGCAGTAATGCTATCTTTCAGGATCCCGGGTGGCAGATCGAAGTTGTGGTGGACGATTCTCTGACTGAGAAGAAACAGCTGCAAGCTCACACTCGTGGTTCGCACAGCAATGGCACTCTGGGATTCTCCTCAAAGTGTCCTGCCAACACTGGCAGTGACGCGTAAGTCAGCACAGTGCATGCCTTGTCACATGGAAGATTGTGTACAAACAATCTTCAAGGAGATGAAGTTGCAGAGCAAGAAGACAGCAGGGTCTTGCTCACGGACGGTGAAGATCACATACAAGGGTCCACTGGTGGAAGTCACCAGACTTGGAAGTTATTGCACAGCTGGCTCGGAACATGGACTGGAAAATAGAGCAAGAACCTACCAAGTTTCGATTTGACTGAGCTATCCTCTAGAGGTGACGGGGGAGCAGACGTTCGTGCACCTCCAAAGGCCAGAGAAGTTGAGACGAAAGGTTTGAGAAAAGGTAACGTACTGCTTTTGCTCTCTGTTCTTGCAGGTGCTCAAATCTCAACTTCGATGAGAAGAAGCAGAGCAGGGCATAGCGGCCAGATAAGTTTCTCCAGAGTCAAGAACATCATAAGCCGGGAATCAAGCAAGTGCAAAATTGTGGCAGTATGGTCGAAGTCACTGCGGCTTGCAACACAGGTTGTTCGACAGGATGGGACGAAGAACAGGAGAGGTTGGTCTACCTTGCAAATTGTGAATACGAAGCCGATGCATTCATCACGTGGACATGTGGAAGCCATCAGAAGTGTTCTGGAGGACGAGGAAACACGACGTTGGTTGCCTGGAACACGAACGTGCACGTCTTCTATCAGATGCAACGAGAAGCTGGCCTGCCTCCAAACGCTGAGACTTTGCATGGAGCAGCAAAACGTCGTTTCCTGGGATTTGCCGAGAACAACCTTTGCTCTTGAGTGCTACGAGCAAGCCGCAGCCAAACGCTCAGACTTTCATGGTGGCGCTCAAGGCACACGGCGACTTAGCAGAGAAGAGGCTCCACTCGCAGATCTGGGAGAGAAATCTGGAGGGAATCCACTCCTCAGCGTGCTCGCTCCATGAGAGAAAAGCTTTTCTTGGGAGGTCGGTACACTTTGCAAGGAAAGAGTGTCATGCAAGGTTGATGGAGCCGTCAATCAAAGATGGTACCTAAAAAGACGCGAAAGGATCTTAGCTGGCAGAGATAAAAAAATATGAGACACAATACTTATCTCTTAATTCATTGAGTAATTTAATTGATCAATAGTTATAAACATAGTTTAGACTAATATTATAGTAGAATAAACAAAAATATACTAGAAAGTGTTTATAGGGAAGGTTATAAATTATAATTAAAAAGATCAATCTAAATGAACAACAGCTATTAGATATTAAAATATCCTAGAATCTCCAAGCATAGTTTAAGTATATTCAATACTGCCAAGCACACCAATTATGGATCTAAACTTCTTTGATTAAACCCCTATTAAAACTTGGGACTTAAGTTTCTCTGAGATTTTGTTGTTGATTAGATGTTATGTTTTTCTTTCAACCATGCTCTGTAAAAATATACAAACTTTATAATTATAATTCAAGTTCTTTAAATCTTTTTTAATTTCATATTAGTAGACGAGAAACAACAAACATATGAACATTGGTCAAAGGAAGCAAAGACAACATACTCAAAGGCATTATAGTTAAAAGTAAAAAATAACCATCAAGCAGGAGCATCATTACAAATATATAATTCTCAAGTATGGAAGTGATATTATAAATGGGAAGCCTTACAACATCATAATCAACTAATTCCCAAGTTGCAATTACACATAATTCTTTAAACATTAAAATTCTGAAATCTTTCATCCTTTGCATAGAATGGATCCAAATGTTAAAGTTTGGATTCATCATAACATCTGAACATGAGGTGAAAAAAAAAGATATTGGTATTGTATTTGAAACTAAAATAAACTTTATCTATAAATTACACTGAAAAAAATATATGGCATTTCTTATAATTACACTCAAAGAGAGAGTTAATTCTTCAATAGAAGAAAAATGTGCAACCATCACGAAACTTAAATGTATCAACAACCTTGTCTAGATCAGCTGAAAGAAGGCACAAAGAAACTTGTCAAGCATCAGCAAGACAAAAGCACACAATTTACTTTGGACAACTCTCTATCACGAAATCCAAAAAGATTTAAAGAACTTGAATCATAGTTACAAAGTTGTACATTTGTATAGGACAGAATGTAACATCTAATCTACTTGGAGAAGCTTGAGTCCCATTTTCAAGTTAAGTTTAAGTGACCAAACACCATATTTCCATATTTCCATTTGTGAAATATGATCCAGAACATGATTGTCTTTGATATTTTTATATTTTGACCATGGTGTGCCCTCTAAATGCTTTATTTCGTTAAAGTGGGACTTATTCAGTAAAGTGGGACATTAATTAGCATGTGTCCACATGCCATTTCCTAGTACTTAATTAATATTTATTAATATTTCTATCAGTTTTTTAATTTATTTTTTTATATTTCACAATATTATAACACAAAATCATATGAAAAGTTTTTAATTTATAAATTATAAAGTTAAAACTTCAATTTTTTATTGTTGTTATAAAAATGGCATGTGGCCACACACCATAAGTGGGATAATGAAAAGTCCCACTTTAACGAAATAAAGCATCTAAGATCCTTTTGCCTGTTTTCACATACCATCTTTGTTCGGGTTTCGTTCATGGCTCCGTCAATCTTGCATTACACTCTTTCTCCATTTTCCTCACAAAGTTTACCAACAAGCTCCCGAAACGAGCAACACCTCTTAATACCCTCTCCACAATAAGATTGTATGTCCATTCCCATCCCTGAAAGAAAAAGATACTTACCATGTGTAAAGAGATAAGCTCCAGAGCCTCCACAGCTTTTCATGAAACTGCCAAGCTTCAGTTTCGCCTTCATAAGGAGGTACTTGGTTTACGTGATGCTTTGGTCGAGTTAGTTAGAAGTCCCTAACTTCAAGCTATTTTAGCTATAAGATGAAACAAAAAAGCGATGAACTAAAAACTATAGTACTTACGAACATCATGCTCTCCAGGTACTTCAAATGAGTAGTGCAAGAGGAAGTGCCGGAGTAATACTGAACTTGGGGCGGAAAACTTCTTGAGAGGCAGCCACGTCTCCACACTTCCTATAGAATGTGATGAGTGAGAACGCAAGTAGTGGA